CAACCAACAGTCATCAGTCTTTACATGCATGCTCGTCGGTTAAGGGTACTTTTAATTTGGCCCTTCTTTATATGACAGTAAATAATATTATTAATAGTGGTATATTTTAACTTATATTCGCTAAGTTAAAAACTACATGTCTTTGACGTGTTGACAGACGCAGAAATGTAACAGACCCACAATTGCACGCGTCAATGATTCGGGGACCACAGCCCTTAGAGGGTAATAGACATGTCGTTGAGAGAGGGCTCTGTGTACGACGGTGTATGTATAATTTCTTTTTGTTAGAAATAGATTGGGTATTTTGAAATAATGAGTATTGATTGATTTCTAGTTTCGGTATAGAATACAAAAATGTTTAAAGCGTTGGTCTTTTGGATACTCACGGTAGGTAATAATATTTTGTTTTTGCATAACACGTTCGGTTTGTGTCAACTTAAAAATGAACTGTTTTATTTATGAATCTTTGATATCTCTCGTCCAACATTTAATTAGAAAAAAACTTACCGCCCTTTGTAAAGGTTATTTTGTCAGCGCCTAGCTAAAACCAAAGAATCACCCATTTTACATAGCTCAAAATTACATCAACTTAAAAATATCTTTCTAGTCATTTAAAGCCAAGGGATACATTAGGGCACAAAATGGCCCACGACCTGTATCGGCGAGGCGACATGTCAAAGTCAAAGCATTTATTTCAATTAAACCATAAATTGGTACTTTTGAAACGTCAACAAATACAAAATAAATAATAGTCTGTCAGTCAGTCCGTCATTGAAGCTAGGTGAACCTAGGTGCTCATTTCAAAATGTAGATTCGAATGGAGGCGAACGAGCAAGAAACTTCATTCGTGACTCTTTTAAAACAAGTATGTTCTACAATGTCTCAGATACATATTCCAATACTGTATGTCTACATGTAAAACAATGCCCGTCAATTTCACCCGACATATTATAAGGCGACAACGCGAGCCTTATGTCCACAGCGTCGTTGATGTTGCCAGACATGTCGACCAAAGTCCGGCAACGTCGCGCTACTTCACCCAACGTCGCTGGCGACCCAAGTTGCAAGACAGTGTATCCTTGACTTAAAACAAACTACAGGGCCCTAATTTTTTCCCACCTATAACAGTCTATCTATACCATTCCTAACTCTACAGCCACCCCTCACAGAGCAACAAGGGCAATCTTGTGGGTGACTTGTAAATGAAAACGAAAAAAAAAGTTATAAAAAAATGGCCGCGTTTTTAAACATGACTTTTGCATTACGACGTCCACCACCGAGACTATTGAACACGATACTTAATAGAATTATTGAAATGAAAATATTTTTTTATTTTTGTGACAAACTCGTTGAACGGTTCGTGACGTCATTTTATTCCGTTTCAAACATTTTGACAGTATGCAATAAAAAATAATTCCTAACATTTTCATTTAGTCGTAAGTGCGACTGCCAATAACAAGTATCTTGATACCAATAGTTTGACTGCACGGTTGGTGCGATGGCTAGGCAACCGGCTGCCGTGCAACGTGTCGCGGGTTCGATTCCCGCACGGGACAACACTTTGTGTGATCCACAAATTGTTGTTTCGGGTCTGGGTGTCATTGTGTATGTGAACTTGTATGTTTGTAAACGCGCCCACGACATAGGAGAAAATCTTAGTGTGGGGCAACGTTTTAAAAAAAAAACAAAAAAGAAGTGCATTGTTTAATTTAAAAAAAAAACTTCGTAGGTAATTACACAAAGTCTGTTACTGGCAATACGCAATGAGACAGTCTTAAAAATTTATCTCAATTTTAAAAGAGAGAAGAGGTCTAGACTACACCTAACCTCTTATACTGTTAAGTGTCACATAAGTTCGTGAAAACCAAAATATCATTTGGCTATCTTACGTTAGGAGTTCCTTATAATGCAGCTGAGGTTAACGGGCATTAGAGGCTTCTCAGTAGACTAAGGTTTAACTATAAATAAACGTAATATCAATTTACTATAAATTAAACAACAAAAGCTACATCATTGGTCAGATTTGGTGTCGATCACCATGATTCCATGGTGGATCCAATCCTCAAACTCACCATAAAATGTGTCCCAAAGGAACCGGTGCACTTTCTAGGTGCGTATAACTTGTTTAATCGAGCAGAACTGTGTCTTTGACGACTTCATTATTTATTTAAATCCTTACTTATATTATAAATCGGAAAGTGAGTTTGTTTGTTTGTTTGTTCCAGTTTAACGCCGTAACTACTAAACCGATTGCTTTGAAATTTTGCAGACGTAAAGTTACAAGTCCGGATTAAATAATAGGGTACATTTTATCCCTGAAAATTTAGATATTCCCGAGGGAAAACAAAAGTATTGGTATAGATGGCGCTGTGTGTATTGGTATATGTCACATTGGCTTTTTATCCTTTTATGACGCGAGCGAAGCCTCGGGTAAAAGCTAGTAAATACATAAATCTTACTTGGAGTACTGGAAGCACTTGACTAGCGTTAGATTAGTTAGCATTTGTTTTTTCTTATAAGTACTGTTTGTTAAATGGTTGCATGGAGAAGTCATTGTATGAGTTTCACCGCGCTAGGTTCTCGGATATCGGGCTGGAAAATGACCATAGGATCTGCCTCCAGCTCCACGTAGGACTCAAGACATAATTGGTATTACATTTTTTTATCTCTTTAACCAAATAAGTACTTTCCATTTCCTTAGCCACACCTCAAAAACAGACTTAACTTAATATCCTGTGTCCCCTAAATGGGGAAGAGGGCGTCCATTGAAGTTCTGCATCGCGATCTGTCTCAAAAACAGAACAATACCACAATAAAATATATCCATTAGCTACGTGACAAAACTCATGCGCATTAATTATTTAATAATTAAAATGACTATAAACGGGATGTATGAGTGTGCAGCTGACCTAATGAAATACATCGTTAGCTTAATTTAGGTATTAATTAATTAATTAATTCATAATATTATGTCAACGTGCAGATTCTCACGAGTACAGATTATCCCTATGTAACACATACATCCGGGACGGCATGGATGATGTTTTTATCTACCGCTGCTAAATTCGCGGTTGTCGGTATGATGAATAAGAGTCAACTTAATTATGTAATATAAATACAGGTACCTAGAGTCCTAAGCTACTACAGTAATCTTGATATTAGCATACCAATATAGCTCGTAAACTATGAATCAATATCGAAGCGTCTCAGGAAACAGACAGTAGGCAAAATACCTCCTTTATTGACGCCTTCACTTGATACTTGTTCTAACTAATTTTGATACTTGATTCACTATACCGTTAGTAAAACAATGAATGAATATTCTACACTCCGATACAGAAGCAAGATTTGGTATTGATGGATTTGTTACTCGGTGTTAATGGTCTTGATACTTTTATAACGATTTCTTGAAAATACTGATACATATTTTGATCGACTAAGCATTTAAGTTCCACGAGATATTATAGTTAGTGGTTGCAAGTAAAAGATTATTATCTATTATTATCTATTTGTTTGAATAATATTTTTAACATTCCGATCTTAAAATGTTCATTTTCTCTTGAAGCTCAACCTGTTAACGTTGTTTGTCCAACAAGTACGCATTAAAAAATACAGATGTCGCTTCCATGACTTATCAAAACAAAAAAAAATATCCATCAAATTAACAGTTATTGCACAGCAACGTCTTTCAACACCTTGCAAAAATTAACCACACACAAACGAACCACAACACAATAGCCACATCAATCAAGTATCAAAACATGGTACACTACGTCCATCTTAGACATTTCTAGGAGTCACGTAGCATGGCGGTCGAGGCAGCACGTTCACCAATCATCGAAACCAAACCCGTGACCGTATATCTACCTCTTTCACTCATATACTATTTGCTATTACCATCTCATTCACACGCGACGATTCCACCGGGAAATCTGAATAGTATGAAGTAGAATTAGGTGCTTTGACATTACTTGGTATGGCGTTCATAGATTTTCTTTGAACCTCCTTTGGTAAGGAAAAGTTGAATTGTAAAACTATGTATAAAATGATAGTTTTTTCGTATGTAGATGGTGGTGGATGGTGGAGGAATTCTATTAATAGCTGTGATCACAGTTATGTGTCTTGGAAATATATTTTGAGAAAGATTGGAATGATACCAAAGATAGAGGTTCAAAAATAGACGGAACTCATTCTGTTTTTAGAAAACTCTGATGTATTACCTAGAGTATCTGATCGCTCTAAAATTTTATTTATGCCTTGAAAAGAATTCTTAACCCGAAAATAGGCTCCAGCTCGACGTGCAGGAGAAGGAACGGGGTGGTTTTTAGTCAGTAAGAGTCTGACACTCCCTCCTGCCTCACTCAGGCGGGAGCAGTAATTCGATGATTTTCCCCCCTTAAAAAAAACCCGAAAATAAAGCATTTAAACACTAGTAAAATGAGTAAACATCATAGTCCAAGCATGAGCTGAACGTAAGGTTTGACATGATAAGTCGAATGGTCCATTCCATGCACTGATTTTTCTATTTACTTACACTTAAAAACCTCTATATTGAGTTGTCTTAAACAGATCAATATCTTCACCATGCTAAACTCCATCGAGCCCTTCGTAAACAGTCAATACTGTTTCAAATTCTGCTCACACATCAACAGGAAAATCAGCTTCGTTATAAACATCCAAAGCATCTTAAGGGCCATCAGTACCATCAGCATCTTTGTGCAATACAGTCAATTCCATACCGTTAGCCATACGCACGAGTGCTTCCAAACCATCGTCTCTGCCTCCCTTTCTTTCATGGTATTTAAAGATTAGAGTGAAAGAGAAAGCTAGTCTTCGATTTCTGAAATATTTTGAATGTTTCATTTTTGTTTTATTGATTTTTAGTTGATATGCTTTATTATGCTTCTTTGATTGAGTTACATTGTCTTGCATAGGTTCTTTTCTTCAAACCAGAGCTATGAGCTAAATTTCATAGGCACTAGCTAAATAATAAATCCATATAAGAATTTGACATTCGATTCATTATGTCAAAGTTTATGTTAAGCATAACATCATGCCTTTTGGTCCCCGAAGGGGTAGACAGAGGTGTATATTATGCCACTGTACATCTGTAACACCCACTTTTCACTATTTATGTTATGAGCTCCATATAATAGGGGCCTATTGTCATACACCTGGCACAATTTAAGACTCCGTGCTAGTACTGAGAATTAAAAAAAAACCCAGTAATACTTTGCCCGACCCGGGAATCGAACCCGAGATCCCATGCCCGGCAGTCGCACTTGCGACCACTCGGCCAACGAGGTAGTCATTATGTTAAGCCTTCTCTGATAAACCTGAATATTTTAAGCTGTCGTCTTCCATCTACCATTTAGGTGTGGATATTGTGAAAAACCCTAGTAGAGGAAGCCCGTAGACCTGCAATGGATTGTCAATACTGTTGATATTGTTATGTCAAGCCCAACCGTTGTCGCGGAGAACATTCGGAGTCGCGGAGAACCTCGGAGTCGCGGAGAACCTAACGGGTAACCGGGGCTCCGGCTTGACGTGCAGGAGAAGAAACGGGGTGGTTTTTAGTCAGAAAGAGTCTGACACTCCCCCCCGCTTCACCCAGGCGGCAGCAGTCATTCGATGATTTTCCCCCCTTAAAAAAAAGGCCAACCGTTACCTTTTTATTCATTTGATTCAATTAATATTTGAGGTAATTTTGATATTCAAATTCTAGTCACAATGAGTTTGGATACAAAATTATAGGTATTCAATTTGCCCATGATTTGATTAATTCAGAAACCTAACTTAAGTAATAAAACATGCATTATACTTTATTCTTAAGAAATTTCCAAAATAAAATCTTTACTTATTAGTTTTTGACAGAATAGTTACAATGAATTCACCAATCTCAAGATGCAAATAAGCATAAGAAACAATTACCATATTTCTAATTTGCATCCTTACAATCAAAGATATAAGAGTTACAATAGCATAAACATCGTTAGTTACGACCCCGTAACATTAGTTTTTACGATGTTCACATATTTGTTTATTTCATCTAATAAACTGCTTGACTGATTCTGAACATTGATTGTGAATTATATAAGTATATTTTTTCTCAAAAACAATGTTTTTTTTTACTGGCTAGATAGAGTATCCTATGCATGATGATCTTTAGTTTTATCTTGAGATACTGATTTCCATATTAACTCTAAAATTAGCAGATATGGATAATAAGGATACAAAAATTAAATACCTATTTGAAATATTAAAAACAAACTTTTATTGGAGTTTGTTGTATTTGTCTACAGAAATAAATATCTTGCACACAATCGGATAATATTGTCACATCCTGTAAACTCCTATATACCTCAAACTATTCAAATAAATGGCTCCAACAAAAGCGATATTCTAAGAAAAATAGCGTCCACTCTAACCCTCTGATACTACCGGTCTAAGAGACCACGTATTCCGATTTTTCTGGTCAAATGCACCCCGAACGAAACGCAACGGGCCGCAGTAGCCATCACCGATCTATCAACGCAATTCGCGTATAGAATGCGAAATGCGAAATTCGAAATCACCAATAGCGTTCCACGATTTCAAACGGACTTAAAATCGAACATTCGCATATTTAAAATTCGAACGAATGACTTTTGTTTTAGAGACACGATTTGTGTCTTCTAAATTTTTCGTAATGCCTCCTTTAGGTATTGGAATTTAGACTTAGTGGTATGTTGTTAGGGTTGAATTTTGTTTGTTTGTGTGTTTTAGAACGTTAACATTTTACTGCAATTGTTTTAAGAATATAAACTATTTCCTGTTAAAGCTCTCTTTCGCCCATTGTTTCGGTTTCTCTCTAAACTGTCGATGATGTCATGTTGTATTTTCAAGGGAAACAAATGTATTTAATATTTAAAACGATAAAAATATTGTGTGTATTGGAATGATTTATAAGGAAACGTTTGATGATCAATTTATTTCGATATTGTTATAATGCTTTTTTGAAAAAGATGTCTTAATACTTTAAAAACCATAAAACAGTTATTTTTTATTAAATATTAATTACAATTAGACTGCACAGTTGGTGCGATGGCTGAGCAACTGGCTGCCGCACAACGTGTCGCGGGTTCGATTTCCGCACGGAGCAACTCTTTGCGTGATCCACAGATTGTTGTTCCGGGTCTGGGTGTCATGTGTATGTGAACTTGAATGTTTGTAAACGCACCCACGACACGGGAGGAAATCCTAGAGTGGGGCAACGTTTTTATAAAGAAAACAAGAAAAGTTATACTTCAATCATTCATTACGTCCCGATTCGTTGATTTAGCCTGAAACCGCAAACTTCTCAATCTCGCTCATTCTTCAACACAACTTAAACAACTTCAAATATCTAATTTATGAAAAAAAAAATTACCAAAAATATACACTTTATTAGCCAACAATCTGAAGCACCATCTACCATTTTGTAGTCGAGATGTAAAACCATAAATTCTCTTAACAACCCTTCATTGCAGGTGGGTGAAAAATAATTTATTCAAATAAATCTCTTGAATTTTCGCAACATCGGGGTCTAGCAGGCCCCCGGGCGTCGTTTCGCAATTCTTTTAACTGCACCAAGGAGGTGACTTTTTTGTCGCTATTTTAATGAAAATGCTAATAAAAAAACGGCGATGATGTTTTTAACAAGTCCTGAGTATTTTTTGTAATGCGGTAATAAGATACGATGCCAGTTTGAAGACTTTTTTGTAAAAAAGAGAAGTTTTATGGCTATTAGAAGTTTTTATGAGAATCAAATTAATGTTTGAAGACTACTTTAAGGTAAATTTAAAGATGGATGCTTCTATCACGACTGTCCCTGTCGCCATTTTATAATAACCAATACAATATTATAAAATGAAGATACATAAGTACTTAATTTATAAGAAAACTACAGCATAATGCATAAAATTACGCCTTTTTAGCCCCGAAGGGGTACGCAGAGGTGCACATTTCGGCACTTAATGCTACTGTAGGTACAATATAACACCCACTTTTCACTATTTATGTTACGAGTCCGATGTAACAAGGGTTGAGCCTATTACCATTACCGGGCACATTTCCAGACTCCGTGCTACTACTGAGATTTTTAAAAACTTAGTAATACTTTGCCCGACCCGAGAACCCGAGACCCCTTGCCCGGCAGTCACACTTGCGACCACTCGGCCAAAGAGGCAGTCACCTGGATAATAAAACGAATATTTTAGTGTAAGAAAAACACCATTAACAAACAAAAACTCAACGGCAAGTAAATCGCAGGAAGTATGGCTTCGCGACGCAAAAGTCGTAAATAAAAAACGTGAGATAAAAATTTACATTATCGCACTTATTTTAATTTCATTCGGCATTAATCATAGCGGGCTGTGAAGTGTCGCGCTCCCATTTATTTGGAGCTCGGGTACTTTTTAATTTGCTGCTGCGTTCTAAGGGTTGAATGTAGATTTTGTGATACTGCATGACAGGCCTATTAGTGTTTTGGTGCTATCATATTTTATAAAAGTAATGAGTATAAGTAACTCGTAGGTATGCTTTATTTTTTATATGAACAAATAATGAATCTGAAATACACGTTGATGAAAATAATATATTGCCCCATCTTAAAAAGAGATTTATATCAATTAACAGTCAGTCAGCCAGCCTTTACAGTCAGTCAGCCCTTAACACGTAGGATTTGCTTTCAAAAATTTTGTGTAATACTTCTAGTTGGTATAAACGTCAGAAAAGGTTTATAACCAACATCATAATACTTTTAACCCTTTGAGTACCGTCATTATAGACACAATTAAAGAACAATAGGTTGGGGTCACCGGTGTCCTCGCGGTGTTTGACAGTTTAAAACACATAACATAAAATCACGCACATTACAGTTAACTGCACGGTTGGTGCGGTGGCTGGGCAACCGGCTGCCGCGCAACGTGTCGCGGTTTCAATTCCCACACGGAACAACTCTTTGTGTGATCCACAAATTGTTGTTTCGGGTCTGGGTGTCAGGTGTATGTGAACTTGTATGTTTGTAAACGCACCCACTTTTTTTTGAAATTGCTACGATGTAACACTCACTTTTCTCTATTTTTTTGTTGAGTCCCATGTAACAGGGGGTGAGCCTATTGCCATATACCAAGCACAATTTCAGACTCCATACCACTACTGAGATCTTTTAAAAAGTAATACTTTGCCGACCTGTAAATCGAACCCGACACCCCTTACCCAGCAGCCGCACTTGCGACCACTCGGCCAACAAGGCAACAGTTTCAAAAATTGCCTGAAAGGAACTAATAGCTAGAGGTCCCTATACTTATACTATATTTTTTCAATAAACACGATGATGTGGGCTCCTCACCGAAGGTTGAAGGGACTGTACCTACAAGGGATATTTGGCCCCTAAACAAATTGTGTGTTGTGATATTCTAGGCACGGACAAGACGTGACCTCTCCACGGACCAGAGGGAAAATGGTGTAAGTGTAAAATATAGTTTTATGTCACACACACCTCACAGAAAGCCAACGTGAAGCAACGCTTGCGTTGTGTTTCGTCGTGTTAGTGTGGTTACCAGAGGCCCAATTACCCTCCCCTTCCCCAATCTCCCCAATTCCTGAATCCCCAACGATCCTCAAACTCCTAATCCCCAAAAGGCCAGTAACGCACTTGTAACACCTCTGGTGTTCCAAGTGTTCATGGGCGACGCCGATTGCTTACCATCTGCTCGCTGATGATGCGTGAGGTGATCTGTCTGCTCGTTAACCGGCTTATGCCATAAAAAATGTAGGTAGGATGGTTATTGGTTGTTTATTTGAGATTCATAATTATGTAAACACTTTCTTCTGCCCACGACTTTGTATGCGCAATTCCATTTTTTTCCGGTTAAAAGTATTGGATAAAAAGTATCCTATGTCCCTCTCCTAGTTCTAAGCTACCTCCCCACCAATTTTCATCCAAATCGATTCAGCCGTTATTGAGTTATAAATTGTGTAACTAGCACGATTTTCTTTTATCTATATAAATAAATTTACCTACATTCTAATTATTTTTGAAGCGGCAT